ATGTCACGAGGTTGTCTCTAACCAAGAACCTAAATGTCCACCTCCCACCATTAGACACTGTCACATTACAATTTGAATGTTTGTATTTATTTTTATTTATTTCCTATCATTTCCTCCATAAGACTAAAAACTCCAGGAGATCAAGGACTGTGTCTACCTTTTTTATGACTCTATATTTAGTACTTAGTCCAATGCCTAACAATAAATATTTATTGAATGAACAAACTTCTGTCCTCTTTGTCCTGCTTAATTAACACTTATAAGCCTGGCAGCATAGCCATACCCTTTTTGTACCACACATATGCCTCTCTCTTTAGTGACATAAAAAGGTATTGTTCTTTGGAATTAGACAGATCTGGCTCTGACACCATTACCAAGCCCACTGTGTGACTCTGGGCTACTTGCTTAATCTCAGTTTCCCCACCTGGAAAGTAGGGAAGTAATATCTGACATATAGTAATATTACGACAATTAAAATGAGAACATGTATATGAAGTACTGATCATAAAGATATTTAATAAAATTTACTTCCCTTTATTCCATTCCTCCTAATAAAATCCAAATACTTTTTACCTGACACACACACACACACATACAACATTTGACTGTGAGAACATCCATCCTACCCTTCTGAGTCTTTCTGATTGTGACCTTCCCACTGAGCGGTTTGCCTTTAGAGAATGAGATATTTAGCTATGGAACAGCACTGATGATATTAAACCAAATATAAAACTGTAGCCCTAAATAATTTGAGTTTGTATTATAAGGGCACGTTCTCAAATATGAAGGTAACACAAAGAGAAAGGCAATAATATTTTTGAGTGTAGGAGACATTACATTAAAAGAAAACACCAGATGGCAGCACCTGATGCTAGAGATGTGTCTGATGGGATTTTAGTTCAAACCTGAGCATCAAGGATGCCAAAGGTAGCTTAAAACTACATTCAGAGAGACAATCTTTTATTAAAAAAAAAAAAAAAAGACATTCCCTAAAGAAAAATAATGCCTATTTTGTAATATAGTATAGGGTTTTTAGAAACAGTGTTTCACATGTTACCAGAAAAATACTAAGAAACTAACCGTAAGCATTATGTAACTAATAAAAGGTAATTAAACAAATGCTTCATTTTAGGTTGTAGTTATATTTAATTAGCTCTGTCAATCTGTGTTCCAATTAGACAGAAAGGCCTTAAGTCAAAGAATGAAATACTATCAGCTTATAGAAAAGGGAAATTTTTCCCAAATATTAAATGCAAATATTAAAATGTATTCACTCATATTAAAATAAGAGGCAATAGTGACCTCTATTCTTGTATACTTTTAGCATTACTTAGACCATTGCTTGCTAAAACAGACATCAAAGGGTTGCATTAAATAAATGCAATATTAAAATTTAAAATGATAATCTACAGTTTTCCATATTATGCATCAAATTTCATCTGGAATTAACACTACTTTTAAAACCTTGCTAAATTGGATATTGCTTGTTCAGGCTTTCCTTCTTTTAGAGGCAAAAAGGGGAGTTTGATGTTGCTCTGACACCATATAATGGGAGAGCAACATCCCAGGCAGTCACACCTTTTATTTATTTTTTAATTTTTTTATTTTTAAACATCTTTATTTGAGTATAATTGCTTTACAACGGTGTGTTAGTTTCTGCTGTATAACAGTGAATCAGCTATATGTATACATATGTCCCCATATCTCCTCCCTCTTGGGTCTCCCTCCCACCTTCCCTATCCCACCCCTCTAGGTGGTCACAAAGCACTGAGCTGATCTCCCTGTGCTATGCGGCTGCTTCCCACCAGCTATCTATTTTACATTTGGGAGTGTATATATGTCCATGCCACTCTCTCACTTCGTCCCAGCTTCCCCTTCCCCCTCCCCGTGTCCTCAAGTCCATTCTCTATATCTGCGTCTTTATTCCTGTCCTGCCCCTAGGTTCTTCAGAACCATTTATTTATTTATTTATTTATTTATTTATTTATTTATTTATTTATT